AGTAGAATTTTTAATTAATATGTCCAACATGTGGAAAACGTTGATAGTAGCTTTGTCAACGATAGCAACTTCCCAGGTGGTTGAAATCTCGTGGTATAGCATAAACTGGAGCTTCACATGAATACTAGCTCCATGTAGTGGTGGAACGGTTCATTCTGAATCGGACCGAAATCCCAGACGCAAAAAAACGTAAATTTCAAAATAGTGACAACGATTCGATGTTGATGTTTTTCAAGAAAATAAAAATATTAGTAATAGTAACAAACCGAATAATCGTAAGACTCGCCCGGTCATTGTGATTAGACCGAAAGATTCCAAACAAGCTTGCGAAGATACTCGTAAGTTTTTGAAAACACGGTTAGATCCAAAAACACACAAAATCAGTAATTTTAGGAATGGTAAAGATGGCTTTATTATTGTTGAGTGTGCAACAGGAGCTATCTGGGTGAAAAATATAGTGCTGTTATTCACACTTCGGTGCCAAGATTGAAAATAGTTGGCATGAACGATCAGTATTCCTCCGATGTCTTCATTGACTACTTAAAAGTCAAAATGAGGCATCGCTATTAATAATGTAAAAGTAGTGAACATGTTTGACAATCCACGCTTCACTTATAACAAGTTTAGTGTAGTAATTGAAGTCGATATCGATACGTATAAATGATTGTTATGTGCGAAAAAAATAAATGTAGGGTTTGATCGGTGCTCGATAGTTGGCGATTAATGTGTTGAGAGCATGTAATGCAAAAATTGTGAGAGATGCTCTAGGTGCAGCCAACAACACAAAACGTCGGAGTGTACGTCAACTGTATTGACACAGATAAACAGACATAACACTCGCAAAATGTTCATAGAACAAGCATTTAACGGTCAATTTAAAAGTATCGCAGTTGGTAGTACCGCCACCTGTGGCGCGCATAGTCAATTCCCTTGCGTTTGACGTTTACACACTACCGCCATCAGTTCAGCGTACTACCCACCACAATGTATTCAACAGATGGCGGTAATGTTTTTGCGACGATGTTTTACAGTAAGAAATATTCAATGTGTTATGTCTGTTTGTCTGTGGTATTGACATATATTAATTGTTTGAAAATAAATAAAGAACGTAAAATTAACTTGGACGTCAACCATGCCGCATTTAGCTCGGAATGTTTGCTCTATAAAAGACTTTTTGATCAGAAGAAAAGCAGCTTGCGTTTCGATAAATAGCAGCGAAGTTCCTGGAATGTGAATCAATTCAATTTTTTGTGGGGTGGTCTACAAACTACGTAGAATTACGTCAGATTGTTGAGGAAAAACGTCCTCTTTTAGTCTTATTATCTGAAACTCATATTGTAGAAACTGAAGCTTTTAATCAGTATATATTGTTGCTGCTTGTTTATCACATTCTAGACACACAATTCAACCTTTGTACCAACGAAGTTATTGAGTGCAACTGGTTCTTGGGCATTACAGTTGTACGTGGCATGAAGATGGGTAATTGTGGTGTTTTGTATCATTCTCCCAGTTCTAGTGACCAGCGTTTCGTTGAAGTTTTAGAGAACTGGCTCGAGGCATTCCTTGATTCTAGTAAATTAAATATATTGGCTGGTGATTTTAATATTAATTGGCGTGATAACCATAATTCGAATCATTTGAAGCGTTTAGCTGAGTTTTTTTTTATTTAAAGCAAACGGTAGAACTTTAGTTAACCACGTTTATTCCAATTTTGATTCCATTCGTAAGTAAGTAATTAGTGATTAATGTCTTAGACCATGTTAACGATAACGATAATTTTGTAAAATTGAAGTGCTGGAGGAAATATTCGAAGCAAGCTGTTTCGAATCTTGTTGAGAGAAGCCTGGATTTTCCATTCGCGGCCGGTAACTTAGATGAATCTACAGCTGTTCTTAATAACGCTTTGAAAACGTGTTCCAATCAACTAGTTGAGCAAAAGTTTGTTTCTTTGAAGAACTCGAACAGCTGGTACAATTTGGATCTTTTGCGTCTTAAACGGAAAAGGGACAAATGATACAAAAAGTTTTGTAGATCAAATAAAGACAATCATTGGACTATGTACACAATCGCGCGTAATAAGTATTCACAATCTATAAAGAAAACTCGTTGTGAAAATGTACAAAGGAAGATTGATCAGCATCAAAACAACAGCAAAGAGTTATGGATAATTTTGAAATCTTTATTAAAACCTAATAATTGCAAACCACGGTCCATAAATTTTAATGACACATTAGAACAGTTAGAATAAGTAATTGCAGCTAAGTTTAATGATTATTTTGTAGACAGTGTTTCATTGATTAATCAATCCATTGAATTGGTCGATGAACCTGACGAAATAAAACAGCCAGTTAATAGTAGTTGTAGATTTGATGTTTTTCACCCAATTACATTAGATGAACTTAGAGTTATTTGTTTTTCATTGGGAAAATCGGCTGGAGTAGATAATGTTAATGCTAGAGTTATTCAAGACTGCTTTCATGTCATTGGCCACATCTTGCTGGACCATATTAATGAATCATTGAAAACTGGACATGTGCCATAAATTTGGAAGGAATCCTTAGTGGTCCCTATTCAAAAAGTTGCTTGAACGATTAAAGCCGAAGAGTTTCGTCCCATCAACATGTTGCACACATTAGAGAAAATTTTAGACCTTGTTGTTAAAGGCCAGCTGTTGGAGTATTTAAATAGTAATAGTTTGTTGATACCAGAACAATCGGGATATCAAGAAGGTCATTCTTGTAAAACCGCGTTGAATTTGGTATTAGCGAAGTGGGAAAATATGATTGTTGCTGTTTTTTTCGATCTTAAACGCGCTTTTGAAACAATTTCTAGGCCCTTATTGTTAAGATCAATCAAGCGCTTTGGAATTACGAGTACTGCATATTAATAGTTTGAAAGCTAGTTGTCTGACAGAACACAACGGACTGTTTTTAATGATTAACCTTGGAGTGCTCCAGGGAAGTGTATTAGGGCCCCTGTTATTTATTATGTATATTAATGACTTGCGACGTGATTTAGGATTTTGGGACATTAATCTTTTTGCAGATGATACTGTGTTATTCATTGCAGCTAAGGATTTAGATGATGCCGTTTTACACTTGAATGAAGATTTGCGATCTCTATGTAGATGGTTGAAGTATAAGCAGTTGAAATTGAATACAAGTAAAACTAAATTTATGGTAATTTCGCGGAATAGAGTAAATGAGAACGTCTCTGTTGTAATTCATGATGAGACTATTGATCGCGTTCGGGAGATTAAATATTTTGGCGTGATTATTGATGACACACTTAAGTTCAACTCTCACATTGACAATGTCATCAAGAAAATTGCCAAGAAGTATGGAATTCTATGTCGACTGAAAAACGATTTAACTATTTCTAGTAAAATACAGCTATGCAAATCAATCATCTCTCCTCATCTAGACTTTTGCCCTTCCATTTTGTTTCTGGCCAATGCAACACAAATATCGAGATTACAGCGCTTGCAGAATAAAATAATGCGTTTGATGTAATAGATTCACTTCCTCAACTTTGATGCTAGACGTCTTACAATGGTTGTCGGTGAAGCAAAGAATTGTATATTTGACTATGGTGTTCATTTTTAAAGTAGTTAACGGTTTGCTGCCTCGATATTTGTGTGATCAAATTGAAAGAGGAAGTGACTTTCATAGATATAATACTAGAAACGTGGTTGAAATAAGAACACCACATTTCTTGACTTGAGCTTCACAAGCTATGTATCTTGACGAAGTTATCTCTAACGGATTATTTTATATGGATAGCTGTCATAACGACTTTTTTTTAATAATTATTGTAGCACTGCAAAAACTATTTCTGTTCGCCATGATGGTGATGATGTATTTTAAATATTTGATTTAATAGTAGTTTAATTTAATAAAAAGTAGTCTACAAAGGTTTGAGTCTCGCGCGCGTATTACGGATATAGAGGACTGAATTGTAGATTTTTATTCACTTTGAGCTCTTATGGATGGGACAACATAGTATTTGACTTTGTTTGCGACATTTTCAGATCAAAGTAACCATGCTTGGCATACACAGTTTTGCTCACGAACTGCTCATTTGCTAATAACTTTACACATAGTTGACGAAACATAGTTCTGTTTGAAGCAGTCGATAGAATAGAGCTTAAGCTTTTTATGGGTATGTAAAAAAAAAGAGATTTTAATTATAGTTATAAACTGTATTTGATTTTGCGTTGCAAAAATGAAGGGAGAAATGCTTGCTGTACATCTCAGACTTAAAGTGTAAAAATTCAATGGTGTTGATTCAAATGATAAGATCTACCTACTCTTTGCATGTCTACAGTAAACTATGATCATAATCTATCAATTACTTTAAAGAAAACTAAATTTCAACAACTGAGTGAAAAGTTATTAACAAATGAGCAGTTGGTGTGTACAACTGTGTATGCCAAGCATGAAAGTAGCTTCAAACTTATCGAGTAAATTTTAAGTGATGGTAGTTGACAATCGATTCTAATGCATAACTCATTTTCACTAACTATGGTAATGGGTCTGTTATGCTGAACATGATTTATAGCACTCGTGCATCACTAAGAACCGCAAGAACTTTCAGAATCCAGGAAATTTTTAGGCTCCAGAAACAGTTAAAACTCCGACAAATTCTGGTTCTCAGCTTCCCTGGATCTTCTAGGTTTTCAGCAGCCTTTAGAGCTCTTGGGATTACGACTGTAAGAGCTCAACAACTCCCGGAGCTTCAAGGACTCCTTGAACTCAAACAAACAATTCTGCATAAAGAGTACGCAAACTTAAGTTTCCTTAACCTGATGACCCTCAAGAGTGAACGTCATATTTGAATCACCCCTTTCCGGATAATAATCAACACTCCTACCTTTTGCTTTCCCATCATTTACGGCATTTGAAGAACAATTAGATATTTTACTAGTTTTATCGCAACGAAAGGAAGACAAAGTTAAAAAGGACAACACAATAAATTATAACGCAAATCAATCTAATTAATTCAATTCACCCTTGAATTTTATTAACTTAAAGTTAGATCATAAAAACAATCGATAAACTAAAGCTAGTTACAATCTATGAGAAGGCACAGTTTTGCAAGGCACGTTGTCAACTATTAATGATTACTTCCTGTGATTAAGATTCATTGGTCATTCAATTCGTCATTGCCTTAAACATAAAACTTAAACGTAACTAAAACCTTAAACAAAAATGAACGTTTAAAGCTTGGTCGTGTAGCTTTCCTGGGCAGCATTGCCGATTGGCGTCGCTGGTCGCGTATGCGTCAGATCCTGAGTGCTGTTTGGTTCGCTTACGGTATCGCCACCGCCGGTGCCCCCCAGTACGGTCTGAACCGGTTTGTCATTGTCCAGTGTCAGACCACCGTTCTCGATGCCACCGATGCTTACCTTCTTTTCCTCCTTGGTCGGCGGTGCCCGGAGCAGTGTCAGTAATGGTGCGTACAGGAAGCATAAAATTGCAATTCCCACCAACATCCACTCGAAACCGATAGAGTTTACCAAGGTACCACTGGACGCCGGGTTGTAAGGGTGTACGGTGTGTTTGTGTAGGGGAAGAGGAAAGCAAATAGAATCGTAGGTTAAAATGGGTTCAACGGTGTGGTGATGATGAATGTAATAATGAGCTTGAGCATTATTGACTAACTGACTGAATATCAATGTTGAAAAAGATACACATCATCGCTGTGATTCCTATAAATTTGACTAATACACCAAATTCGGTGGTATCTATTTTTTACTATTCTGATAGCAAATTTCAACGCCGTCGGGCATAGTCGTATGCCATTGTACTTTCGAGTGTTTCTTTTTAATTTGATATTTATGTGCACACTCTATCAAATGTTTGCGACACTCTATTGTGATACGGGGGTTCTAATGTTGACATAGGATGGCCGTGGTCAGCAAACAATTGTTAGCTTGTGCTGGTAAAATGGAATGAGATTGGTGAAGTAGACATTTGATTGATAATGAATTAAGTGTAGGGTTTTTTCCTTACCTTATAGCAGGTCCAATAGCGAAACCCAGACAGAAAGCCACATCTCCGATGGCATAGACGCTACCGTACACGGCGGAATGCCGAATATCTACCAGGTAGCCCAATTCCGGCATCATGCACGAGTCGACCATACCGATGGCAAATCCAAGCCCAGCGTTTGGCAGAATAAGATGGTGGATCGAGGTTGCCATTGGTATCTGGAAGAAGTGGAATGCGTGTTCTATTTTAGTTTTCAAGCTCTTGAGACTTCTTGATGTGTAGTGCTTACCAGCAGCAGGCAAAAACCAATGATAATCAGACCTAGAAGCGCGGCAAGCCATCGTCCAATACGGTGACCCAGGGGTCCGAAGAGATTCGTTCCGATTAGATAACTGATAGAAGCAGGTAGAAATGTTACGCCTTGTTCCCACCGACTGGCACCCATGTTATCCATCATCCAAATCGGTAACGACGGTTCCAGCATAGCAATTCCCATGTTGGCAAAGGTAATCGCTCCGGCCGCTACAATGATGTATGGATCCATGACCAGTGCCTTCAAGGAAGGTGGGTCGGATTCTTCGATAACTACCGAAGGTTGCATCATCACGAGCTGAAGAAGACCGTCGCCAAGTGCCAGGGCTGATAGTACCAGAAAGGGAGCAGATTTTCCGACAAACTCGTACATTATTCCACCAAACGGAGGACCAATCAGGACGCCTAAAGCTAAGCCACCTAACGCTATACCCATGGCGTTGCCACGTTCCTTGTCGTCGGTGTATCGGTCGGCCAGCATTCCCATGCCGGACACGGACGAACAGGACGAACCTATACCCTGCAATGCTCTAGCTAGGAAAAGAACGGGATACGTTCTACCGAATGCGAAAACTGAAATGAACGAAAGTGCAAGTTTTAGTAAATTTTTCGCAACATCATTCTTACAGGTATGATGACGCGTCAACGAATTTGCTTATGTCAACTACATTTTGCGACCTTTTGCTCCTTGCAAGGCTATAAAAAAAGCATAACTGCTAAAATGCAATTACTAATTATCATCGTTGCTCAGACATGTTCAGAAAGGTTAGTGGACTGAAAGGATGGGTCGCAAAAAATGTTGAATTGAAGGGTAATGACTTGTCAAAATGAAGGAAGAATACAGAAACTTACTCAGCGTCGAAACAAACATAATGACGAACCCAGTGAACATGGGAATACTATAACCTATCCTGTGGAAGAAAAGAAAATTAAGTTTTTGTTACATTTTAGAATTATATTAGGGGGCGAAAGCGTAACAAGTTTTCTATTCATATTTAGCTTCAGACAGATTGTATTAATTTGTAATGACACCAAAAGTTGCTGAAGGAGTTTGATTTGAACCGAAGGTGAAATCATGTTGATACAATAAATCGCACGCATAAAAGAAATGATTTGACGATTAATCCAGCTAGGGAAAATAACCAGGAATTGGAAAACTTACCAGGAAAAATCATGGGAGTACTGGCGAAAATCAATAAACCAAGCTGTCAATTAAATTATAGATAGTATTTTTTTATGGATGTACAAGTTTATTATGAATAATATTTGATTTAATATATTATAAAGTATATGAAAATTTGACGATTATTAACGTTATGAATTCTGTGCCATGCAGGTTTCAATGTTATCAACTTATGTGCTTCTTTTAAAATTGGTTTAATATTAACCAATTCCAAATCAAAATTGGAAATGATTTAATCGGTGTCTCTAATGCAATTTTCTCGAACCATGGAAATATAACGCATTATAAGTTGTTGACAAGATATATGAACAATTGATAAACATTGTTCTTGTATCGTGAAATTCGCTTTTAAAACTTTTCAGCTCTTAAGATCAAACATGGCATTAGTGTTAGGGTAAATTACCAATTGTTGCACACTTCACATTGTTTACTGTGCAGCATTTATCCCTGACCCCAAAGTTTTCCGATCATGGTGAAATTCTAATCAGTGATCAATTGTTCAATGATAATATGTTTTTGATACTCAGTATTATGAATATTGTGATAAAACATGTTTTGATTATTTTTGACATTGCTGATATGATTTCAGGCGATTTCTTAATTTTTTTGGTATTAATCTTCAGTTGTAAAAAAAGCTATTACAAGCTCAAAATTCAATTAAATTAAGTAATTTCCACAGGAAAATGTTGGTTATTCTTTTATCTAATGATCAATTGCAATACATCTAAAAGTTTCAGAAAAATATTAATGGTCAATAATTGGATCACATTTGAAATATTGGTCCTGGATTATTGTCTATGGCGATAACGCCTGAAGGTATTCAACGTTTCATATAAATCAGCAGTGCGCAAAACAGTCAGGTTCATTGAGTCATTTTGATATGAATATGAACTGCCATCTGCCTCATCATTCACTGCCTCGTGAGAATCTGAATGATTCAGAGGTAAACGAGTCACTGACAGCCGAGTCACTGAAACTCACAAAATAAATTTCGTTCTGACTATTAACCTTGTTCACACTTTTTATCAAATTTTGTTCTAAATGGTCTTGCCATTTTTTAAGGATAAGAGTTTTTACCTAAAGGCTTCTATGTAAGTGTACTTCGTTTCCATCAACTCGTATGCACTCAGCAAACTCTGTAGTCAAGTTATAATTATAAGTTAAGGACAACTACTGTCGCTGAGAATATAAAAGTAGGAGTAAAATAAGAACAGAAGTGTAATGATTCTTGAAAACCAAAGTGAAGGGCTCTCTATAATTGTTTTCTAACCAAGCACTACTTACTTATGCGTTAATGGACCGACTATCGGGTTGGCAAGCAGCTGGACGAAAGCTTTCGATGCAAACATAAGGCCAACTTCAACCGTTTCCTCCACCAGCTCCTTGTGGCGTTCCTCTCGCTCGGCGTACCAACTTGCGTTATCTGATTGGGATTGATTCATTTTCAGGCAGCATTCAAAAGTTTAGAATTCAATTAGTTGCAAATAAAAAATACTCCTCTAGCTCGATCGCTCGACAGCTAGTGGAAGAAAAATGCCTTACCATAGCCGGGAGTAGTGATGTCAATCCCATTGTACGGGGTGGTGCTTTCCTTCTCGCACGGCGAAAGCGTCGGGGGTGGAGTCTTAGGAAAGCTAGCTAGAGGTGCATCCGGGTGTCTGATGTCATACAGGAATTCCGGAATGATTGGCACTGCAAATGAAATTAAGAGAAGAAAAATATATGTAGTATATTTGCTATGACATCCCTACAGCAGGGAGACCCTAACTATCTAGAATCGTGGAGTGTTAAATTGGAAAACAACACCGTTCATCGTCTGCTAGTGCCACTGAATTTCCTGTCAACGGATGGTGGTCGGTGTGCCACACTCCAAACGCACAGTAGCAGGAAATTGAATGTGACATATCTGGCTATAGGCGAAAAACTGTTCTGTGCCTGCCTGTCTGCCTTCGGGGATACCGGTGAACGAGCGAAGCAACAAGTTATCCATCTTTAGCATCTAATTGAATTATTTAGTTTTAAACGAAAATTGAAATTTAACCGTCAATCAATGGTTCTTCATGTGCAGTGGTAGAAGTTTCCATCCAGTATAAATTGTGTTATTCTGAATTTGGTGTTTGTCAATTTTCAGTTTAGTTCTAAACCAAATTGCACATATTGCGTCTATTTCATCAAGCTAGTGAATATAGAATTTATCTTGGATTGAATAGTGTAAAACACGTCAGTTATATAAAAATTGGGGAAAATTCCAATATGAACGCAAAGTTGAAGTAAATTTCCTTAGTTCCTCAGCTTGAGATTATCCGTTTGCTGTCTTGATCTATTATAGATCAATAAAGTAACAATAAGTTCAGAATGTTTCGCCAATATTTCTATGGTATCTATACGAACAGCTCCAGATGATGGAAAAATTCCTCTCTTTTTTGAATCGTTGTTCACCCCCCGGCGGAAAATGGATACATAATTGAATCAGTGCAAAATTTATTAGATCACAAATTGCTCGCTTTTATGTCGCTATCAACCTTATTTGCTTCACCATTTTGTCACCTTCCTTGTGGCACCTTCTAGCGAAGTGTCTATACACCGCCACTATATATGGAGACGGCTGTCCAAAGCAGCAACAAGCATCGAGGGTGAATATTCATGTTCTGTAAGCTAAAGCAATATGCTCTTGTGTGGACCGATGAATTGAATCAGTGGAGATGGCGGTAAGAAGTGTGTTGAGGGTATCGTTTAAGGAGCAATTGATTTTCAATTAGCTTTGCCCCAAGAAGAGTGCATTGTTAGCCAAAGTTCAGCATCAACACACATGTTAAGCATATGTTTAAGGCTTTACCGTAACTTGATCGAAAAAGTCAAGACCAACCATTGAAATGGCCTTAAGTCCATTTTGTAAACAAACCTTGTAAGGCCATTTTCTCGCGAACTGAAGTCCGCAAAGGCAAACCAACATAATGCACAGGTAGGGGAAATTCTCCTCTACCCGTTTGTGGTTTAGGTTTGCGAATGAAGGTTTCGGTTCGTGAGAAAATGGCCTTACAAGGTTTGTTTACAAAATGGAGTTAAGGCCATTTCAATTGTTGGTCTTGAAGTTGAAAGTGGACGCATTTGATCGCTTGGGACACTTGAGTCCTCCTCCCCCCATGATAGCATTGTTTTTATCAAAATTCACTTATTTCTATGTCTAGTAGGAGTTAGAGGTGGGCAAAACAGCTCATCTGACTGAGCGGATCAGACCCGTCCAGCTCAATAAGGGGAGCTGATTCTTTTGAACAGCTCTTCAGCTGACATTGAAATTATAGAAATTTTGACACAAATTCAAAATTGTAAAAGAAATAAATGGTTTTAGTGACCCTTAACCAATATATATTGAAACTACATAAAATAGTAAAAGTAATCTAAGCCAATAAATCCGTAGCTTACAACATTGCTCTACTTTTCAATTGAAAACGCCACTAACGCTTCAACTGAACAATGTGGTGGAGTGGAGTGTAGAGTTGTTTTAGACTTGTTATATCAGTGAGCTGATGAGCTGCGGTTCCTAAAAATTAAGCTCACTTTAGTGAATCAAGTATTTAGAACAGCTCGGGAGCGGATCGCACATCTCTAGTAGGAGTTGGGCCGAATACTCGCGGCTTACTCGAGGTTATAGGGGTACATTGTCGAAGAATAGGATCAGAAGAGGAGCTTGGGGTGAGGTTTCGTTGTCTCAGGATGGCTTGAATCTACGAGTGTTTGGCAAGAAGGTCAGCGTGTTTAAAAAAAAAGTTTTATATTTTTTGCGAAATAGTGTGAAATACTACATGTATACCAGACACGAACAAAAGAGAACTCGGTGGACCCTGGACATCGGAGCGAGCTCCAGGTTGGCAACATCTGAGAGGAGCTGTTTAGCCTCGGTAATGAGGAATGCTCTCTCATCTAAGCCTTCTGTCTTCTCCTCGAAGCTGATCGATCAGTTGCAGGAAGTCTGAATAATTAGTCGGTCAAACGGTAGTACTCCAGGTATAGTTCCGGGTGTAGATGGTAGGAGACCAGAGCAGATACGTATGGCTTTATGGTACGTGGAGGCTAGTTTAGTGGCGAGTTGATCACGGGCGAGGTAGGTGATTTCTATCCCATAAAGCAGATATGATTCCAGAATAGTCTGAGCGACGCGAAGCCGGGTGGATCTGAAACAGTTCGGGTGTCGTCCCGCAATCGATCGGAGTAGGTTCAGTCACGCCTTACAGGCATTTTCAGCCTCGTGGAAGTGGGAGAAGTTGAAATCCGACCGATGACGTCCATAGCGATACCGCTCTTATTGCTGCTGCCATCTTCCTCCGAAGTGCCTTAACGGTTTTGCGTAATACCAGGTTAACGAAATCGTCGGCTTAAGAAACATGTGGATGTCCTTGGGAAGAATAGGTAAAAACGCTGTTCATCCAAATCAAGAATATGGTAACCGCGATGAATGACCCCTGCGGTACAACGGTCTCCTCTCGGAATGTAGCAGAACGGTGGTTTCATAGAAGAACCTGGAAGGTGCAGTTAACCAGAAAGTTTTAAACAAAATGCATCAGGTGACCGCCCAAGCCCCAGTCCAGCATTTGTCGGATAGCGTCTGGCATCCAGGCTCTGTTGTAGGCCTTTGCGATGTCTAGAGCTGCCAATTCAGCATGCTGTTCAGCGGCATCATGGACAACTTGAGCGAGTGGGGCGAAGCAGGTGTTTGTTCCGTGTCCTGGCCGGAAGGCATGCTGTCGATTATCAAGCACCCAGAATGTTCTGTGATTTTGAAACCGCAGTAGGGAAGGAAGATGGACCTGAAGTCGTTTAAGATAGTTGAAGATATAGATATCACGAGGCTGTGTTTCCACTCCTGGAGAAGGGAGTTACTTAACCACTCCTGGTTGATCAAATCTAGAAGTTTTCTTCTGCCTTCTGAGGGCAGATTTCGGAGTAAGGGATAACCCACCTCGTCTGGGCTTGCAGAGTTCCCTCTGATCTTCGATAGAGCCAGAGCGAGCTTGTCCAGCTGGAAAGGCTGGTTTATTTCCGGTACGGTTCATTCCATCGGGATTTCCACGTTGGAAATGGAGGATGTTGATGCGGCTGTGTTCGTCGTAACACTCTATGGCCGATAGGGAAGCAAGCAAAGTGGTTCCCATGCTAAGGTAGTTCAAGGAAAAAATTCTAAGGGAGTTTTGACTAGAACTTCAAGGCAAATTTTGACAAGATTTGCACAGTCAAGTTTTAGGCCACACATTCTACTGAGGTATCAGCAAACCATTAAGTTTTTTTCAGCTGAAATTCAGTGAAACATTTTCCAATACTCAGCAACCATACGTCACTTTTGCTAAGATCTTAGTAAAAAATGATTGAAGAGGGCTCGGCTGTGCATATCTCGTCAAAATTGGCCGAGATTTGGTAAATGAAATGAAATGTGTCGGAAGCATTGTAAGGAACAATTAACTCCATGTGAATTTCCAGGAGAGTTCTGAATATAATTTAAGGTAGTTCTGAAGAGAATTCCATGATGATTGTGAGGAGGATTCAAAGTCCAAATCGAATAAGTATGCCCTATAAGTTTTGAGATGAATTTCAATTCTCTGGATGGTTTCAAAATAATTTTGTTGAACATTCCATGGAAATTCTGAGGGTGATTCAAAGTGAATTCTTAAGAAAGTTCCAAAGGAACTCCGAGAAGGATAACTACCAATGAAAGCGAATTTTGTGGGTATATATTCTAATGAATTTTGAGAAGAGACTCATATTTCACATATTGCATGTGAATTTTAAATATGATTATGCATGGAAACTTCAGATAACTCGTCGCAGAATCATAAAAAATCGGAAAGAAACTTTAGATGAGTTCCGAGAAATTATAACGGGTGTTCAGTAAAAAATGAGTGCAAGGCTTACTCAGATTTGAGTAATCGCAAATCTTACGATAATTAGGGTCTGTTCATAAAAAAGTAGCCACATTATGGGCGTCTTGGGATGGAGTCTAAAAAAAATTCAAAATGGGTCTACGTAGTTTATGAACAAGCCCTTAGTGATATTCTATCAAATTTTCAGTATGTCTGAACTAAAGTAAATGTTTAGTTCGCAAATATTTTTGAGAAATTTGAACTTTTGGAAGTATGTTGAATTTCTTGTTAAATTCTGTGATTCATCGATAACTCTAGATTTGGCGTAAAAGATTATGTAGGGGAAATGTATGTAATGTCGGCCTAAGTGTCCCTAATTTGGACCCATACATAAATTCAGCAATCGACTAAATTTTCAATAGCAACCAAAAATATCCATTAGTACCGTCCCAATGACGCGTTCATCTACACACTTAGAAATGCCTAATCTTACACGTGACGGAATACATTTTTGACATAAAGAATGAGACGTAAACAAACATGTCATGTAAAATTAAGTGCTCCAAGACTGAAAAGATCAAAAGTATGTTTGATTGAATTGAATTTCGCGTCTATTATGACTCAATTTTATGTCACAATTGACGCTCGTATATGTCAGTCTCAGAGCACCTAAATTTACATGATTTTTTCTAAGTGTGTAGATAAAATTGATAAATAGCAGATTTTTAGCGATGGGCCCAATCTTAGATCCATAGCATTAGAGCCATTTCCCCTATATCGCATAATTTTGCAGACAAGCTAGAAATCAATTCCGCAAAGTAAAGAGGTCAACCAGCACCC